GCCGGTTAAAATGTTGGCTAGCTTAAGACCAGTGAAAACGTGGCTAGACTATGTGCGAAAATGTGAATCGAATTATGGTTAGAATCGGCGCTCTGATCAGCCAGCAGATACATTTGTAAAACGTGTTCTACGCACTCAAAGAACCCCGAAAAACGTCGCTGGATCTTGCAGATACTATGTGTACATGGAGTGAATAAAACAACAGCGGAAAACAAGGTAAGTACACACATACGTACTCTCTGGAGGGCGGTTTCGCCCCCAACTTCCCTTGCCATGTGACCATGGCCGTATAAGTTCGAACCAAAATTCACAACGCTCGACTTGATATTTCCCTCAAATTGCTAAAAATAAAATAACGAATTTGGGCGTGCGTGTGTGTGCGAGCGTGTTTTTGGTGCAAACATCGTGGAAAATGCACCCCATGCGCCGCTCTAAAAATGCTAGCCTGTACTTAACGGGGGCGTGGTCGTCGGCTTTCCATTTCCCGAATTTCCACATGTTCATTGAGCGGCAAACTGCAACTGCAACCGCCACACTCGAGTGGCGCTGGCGGCACAAATGGCATGGCTCGCTATTTATAGCCAACGCATTCGTATCTGCGCGCTACATGGAGAGCATATGCATGTACTTTGTATCTGTATCTATGCATATGCACATCTATGGCCGGATCTGCAACGACTGCGGCACGCATATCTACATATCTACATATCTACATATCTACATATCTACATATGTACATATGTCGTGGAGGGACTGTCACCCGAGGAACGCTATTTGAGTTACAAATGATCATTGCAAACATAATTTTTATATCTGTCGCACATAGAGAAATACACGAAGGCGCTAGTATCTTTGTATCTGCGCCAGCGAAAACGCTGTCAAAATGGCCGACCCATGCAAAGTTGCAGTTGCACTGGGAGCCCAGTTCCCCACCCCTCCATCACCATTTCCCCCACACACTTTGCACACATGCACAGATGCATCTGTATCTTGTTTGCCGTCTGCCGCTCTTCCTCCTGCCCCCCTGCGCCACTCTTCCCCTCTTCCCCTGTTTCCCTGTTTCGCCTTCTTTCTGTTTGCTTTCGCCTAATTTTTCGTGCCTTTTTTACACAATTCTCGTTTAAATGTTGCCTTTTGGCTTCGCTATCTGGCGGCCTGTAAATGTGTTTGTATCTGTATCTGTATCTGTATCTGTGTTTGTGCTATGCTTCGTATCTGTGCGTATGAGTGCGTTGCAAAAGTGCAATGACCCATTCGTGGTCCGCCCCCCACCACCCTCCCCCCGTCCCTTACCCCTACAGCGGACCCACCAACACCACCATCGCTCTTCGAAGTCGCGGGCTACGTGCCACTTTCCATAGTTGCAGCGAATGACGCGCGCGATAAATTTCCAGCGTTTTCGTTTCTCCGCTGCTTCGTATTTGTCTAATTTTCCCTCTCTCCGTCGAACTTTTTCGTGGTCTTCTTGTTGCATTTTTTTATTAATTTCCCCGGGCTGCAGTTTTTGTTTGTTTTCGACTGTTGCTCTACCACAGGAAAGTACACTCGGAAAAAGTGGGATTGAAAAGTTGATTTTTTGAAATACCTCTTTTTTCGAGCAGAAATAGTCAGAAATCGAACAGCTGAAAGAAGAAGAAACGTAAACTTAAGATTAAAACTTAAATACCACATACATCTATGTACTACTTCTTCTTTAAAGATCTTTCGAAAACTTTACTTTTTCCGAGTGTAGTGTGTATCTGCTAGATTGTATTCGTATTTTTGCCCTTCCGCCGCGTGAGTTTCGTGTAAACACTGAGAGGAAAGGGGAGAGATATCACTAAATTTTCGCCTCCATTAGCACACGAGTGCGAGCGGCGATCTTTATGGCAGGTCCTGCCGATCCTGTCGCTAAACTAAACTCTGCAGGCTGCCCATTGTCCATCGTAGGCGGCGGCTCCTGTTTTCCCTTTGAGCCACGCTAATTGCCTTTTGTGTTGGAGAGAATTTTCACGTGCCGCTGCTACTTCAAAGATGCTCTAAGGGGCGACACTTCGGCAACTGAGTATCCTCAAGAATCCCAGCAGAAGCATGCTAGACCTCCTTCGAAATACACCCAGGTAAAAGCAGAAGATACGAGTGCCAAAGGTAAAGGGTTGCCTGGGAAATGCCGGGAAAACGCAAACTCGAGGTGTGTTTTTTTGCATTCATTTTTTACTTTGCATGACAAATGCTGCTATCAAGTCCAGACATTGATTGAAACCCAACGCGATGCTTTTCCTGGAAAATCCGTCTCTTCCTGCTTTTCGCATGCAAATATTTGCGCCGATAGTCGCTCAATGGTAATGACCAAAGGCAAAGGGTTACGCATCGTAAAGCGACGGGCACATTTCCATCGAACTATTTTGGCACATTTTTGCGAAAAGTCGTAAACCCATAAACCCCAGACGAAACCCTTTCGCTGTGGCCATAAAATTCTACGAGCAGGTCAGAGGTTTCCATTCCAGAGGTTTTTATTGCCATATGCTGACCAGCAAACAAAGAGCTGATAATACTAATCGCGAAAATGCGTAGGGGAAAACATTTGTCGTGCAGTTTGCAAACACAAATACGAAATGCAAATTCGGATTCAGATTCAAATTCAGATTTAGGCTGACAGTGATAAGCAGCACTTTAGAACAATGCCATTTCGAGCAGATGACTGCAAATTAGTGCTGCTCGGCGAACAAAGAATTACTTGATTGTTAAATCATTTTAGGCACTTTAGCCTTTTTGCCAGAATCCACACATGTCCAACGAGCAGGTAGTGAAAAGGATACAAGGATACTAGCAGTTCATTAAGTCCTTCGCTTCATTGAGCGACTGTCTTGCGGTTGGATTATGTGCGGATTTCTCCCTGCTAATCCCCCATAATGAGCGGTGGCTTTGAGCTGGCAAAACGTCTTTATCTCCGGTATTAGCCACATCCTCAGCCGTTAGTCAAAAAGTCAGCAAAGTCAACACTGACCAGAGGATAATCCATTTAGGGAAACTCTGTGCTGGACACATGTGGAGTGTCGGGGACTTTCCTTGGACCGAATGCATTTTCAATGTACTAATTAAGCTAAAATAATGCTTATAAATTAAGATATATCTTTATGAAAACAGTAATTTTACGTAATAATTGAAGGACGTGCACAATGAAGTGTTTTCAAAGTGTAGGCTTAATAAATATTTGATTGGTTTCACATGCCTTTCGTTCAATTTAATGAATAATGAACCCATTTCCCATATTTTTCACTAATATGTTGAATGAAGAAGTGATATTTCGTTGGCCCGGCGTTTTACAGCCTCTTGGAATCCACATTTTACACTTTCACTGGGACATTGACAGGCGCTGGGGTAATGATGATAAGATTACGAGTGGGGAAAGGGGTCGGGGCTCATATATGGAGGCATTGTAGTAAAAAAAAGTAAAGCCCCCGGGCTCTTGTCCACAAATGCCCGAGTCCAGATTATGGAGTCCGAGTTGCGGCAACTTTTCCGCTTTTTTGTGCCCGTACTTACACTCATTTCTTGCACTATCAGTTGGGAGTCGAGTTCCGCGGGGGCGGGGGGAGGTGAATGCACTTGCGAACTACTTTTCCGACTTTCGGGTGAAGATAGTGTTGGCCGATCTCGCGGAGCTGCCAAAAAAAAAACAACAAAGAATGCAGTTGAAAACACGGGCGGACGGAAAATGGCCCCGTGAAATGCGGTTGACCTTAATTTCCAAACATGATTAATGGGTTTGGCAAGCCGAAAAGAAGGCGGGCGGGACGAGGTGGGGGGTGATACACGGAGGAAACGACGATGAAAAAACTAATGATCAACAATTAAAAAATGTAAGTTGAGCTCTGGCCAGAAATGTGTGGAGTACAGCTGGTACAGATGGACATTGCGAATAGGAAAATGTTCTTCTTGTAAATTTGATTTTGAAGGTAAAAAAATTAAGAGTAATTTAATTTTTAATTTGAATTCCTAAGGCCTCGAACTGATCTTAATTTTTCAAAAATGTTATTACAATGCAGATTTCCATTCGATTCTCATTCAAACTCACTGTCATTGCCATATGGAAAACGGCTGCAAATCTATAGATCTTATAAAAGTCCATTACACAAAGGCTCATTGAAAATCTCAATGACAAAGACTGCTATTTTAGAAAATTAAGAACTAAAAGAGAGACCCTAAGACATTTTACAGGTGCCTATGCTTAATTTGCATGATAATAACGAAATCCCAAATTGGCAGTATGTTATATGTGACCCTTTGAAAACCCATCCCCTAGCGACCGTTAATTTGCAATTTGCATAAAAAATCAAGAAATCGAAGGGTTATCGTCCGAGGGGTCGAAGGTCGAGACATATGCAAATTAATCGCGTTGCAGGCCGAAACTGCATTCAATTATGCATTGATTGCCGAAGGTCGTTACTTTATCTGTACACTTAAATCAAAATTTGCATAACTAAGAAGTTGAGGCAGAAAAGCGCCGAAAGAGAAAAAAACGAGAGAAATAGAAAATACACGAAAAGGCAAGGCGACAAAGTATCAAAACAGGCAGTTCAAAATGGCGACGAATGCCGCGAAGCAGGGGAATGAGAAGAAAGGGTGTCGAATCGAATCAAGATCGAACAACGAAAGACCCGAGACCAGTTTTCCACGCAACCTGCCTAAATTCAAGTATTAACCAAAAAAAAAAAATAGAAACGTAAAAAATGCAGTCGCCAAAAAAGAAAAAGAGTGCGCCTCTCCCTCGCACGCACTGCATCCAATGGCAGCAGCCATATATGCAGCACGCACACACACAGAGGACACACACACACGCACGCAATCGCAATCTCGCTCACGCACAAAACTGCAACTGCGCGAAAGAGAGGGCGCGAGGGTGGATTCGTAGCACAGTTTTCCTGTTCCCCTCCGCATTCGAACAGTTTGCTCGCCGCTCTCTCGCTCTCACCCTCTGTGCATCGCTCCATCTCGCTCTGGCAGCGCTCGGGAAATTTGGTCTTCAATGACTTGCTGCACACGAAAACCGTGGCAGTTTTATTCAAGTTTGAGCGCTCGAATCTGCAACAACGTGCACGCAAAACTCTCAAAATTTTCTCAAAAACATCAAATTCACTAGGCGAGCGGAAAACTCTAGTAAAACGCTAAACGTGTCGCTGTTTCTTGGAAAATATCTAATATTTTTGGCAACATCTCGTGTTTTGTGCAACTGTGTTTGTGCGTGTGTGGGTGTGTGAAGCAGAAGAGCGAACAACAAGGAAAAATACTCTGTTCTAAGAATGTGAAAACATTTTAAACAACGAAACACTCCAGAGAGCTCCAAGTTTAAGCAAACTAGGGGAACAGCAAAACACTGAATGCAAAATACCCTGTAAAGTGTTCCAGCAACTAATTTGGTCACTTAGCACCATCGACATCGTGCCCCACCTGCGGCATTTTCATTATTTCGTGGTAAGGATAAAAATAAATTATTTCAAAAAATTCAAAACTCAAACTCAGTAACAGAAAACAAAATAGTTTTTTCACCCAAGATGGTTTCTTATAACTTTCCATAATTAAAGGTTCAATTTTATAATACAGTAGCACAGTGCTCTTCGTAGACCTTTAAATTTCCGAATTATTTTTGGTGTAATTTCGCAATTTCCGAGCCCAATACGTGTCAAAAAAATAAGCACTACAACAAATGGAAACTGGAAGCCCTAAGCCCAGTTAAACCGGTTTCCAAGTGCATTCGCCTCAATGACGTTTGTGATAATTTTAATTAAACGTTTTGCTCACAAAATGGTGGCCGCTGTTGGCGAGCTCTGTTAGCAAAAGTTGGCCAAAGCTTTCCGCCTTCCGCTGGGAGCTTTCGATCATTTGGCGATCGTGGCGTATACGCAATGCGATCTGCGAGGCGTTGAGGCGTCGCCTTTATGGCATTATTATAGCCGCATCTAATGCGCTTGCTTCTTGCTACGAAATCGCTTACCTGCTCGGCGTTGCGCAAATCGGGAGTGGGAACGGGAATGGGAATGCGATTGGGATTGGGATCTCCGCAGGTTGCCCATTATCCTGCCGGCGAGACAATGGCTAGACAACAACAATTGATGATCTCTTGCGCATTTTCCGCAGACAATAATGCGATCGTTTGTTTGCCGCCTTTGTCTGATTGTCCGCATTTCTTTTCTCATTTTTTGCCATATACCATATACCTTCTGGTTTATTTTTTACGGGGCCTCGCCCCTTTGACATTTTCCTCTTGTTGTCTGATTGCCATTATCGCGTTGGGGTGGGGGATCCTGTGCCACTCTACCTGTTGGTAACTGAATATTCACACACGCCACATGGCCGCAATTTGGGATGCGAACTCCTTGACGAATGGCCAACACATGACGCCAGGATGCCAGCATATGGCGTCCACTTGAATCTGAAACTCAGGACTCGACCACAAGCCAAAGTACCAAATTTGAAGTCATGCCAAGGACAAGGGCATAGGCATATGGCCTGCCTGTCGCCCCCGCTCACTCTTCATTTTGTACACGAAATGAATGAAAATTATTGCAAGTTTTTCAGCCACATTTTCCCTTATTTTCCGTGCCTTCCCATTTCCATTTCCCGATTCCAGGCAGCGGTGGCGGTAAAAAAGCAAGCCTGATATTATACATATAGATTTGAATATGTATATGTATGCGTAAAAGTAAAACGCGCGAAAAGCAGCCGGAAAAATACGCGCACACATCTTTCGAGGGATGTTTGCATATTTTTTTCCCCCATTTTTCCTACACGTTTTCCTCGCCACCACCACTGCCACCCACAGCCAACTCCCCCATTTCACTTTCACTTTTTTTACGGCGCATAAAACTTCGGGGGGTGGCGAAGGGCATAAATTTTACAGGCAAGATTTTCCGCGAAAAAAAGGAAATGGTGGAACTGGTGGAACTGGAGGAACTGGAGGAGCGACCATCCCCAATTTCGCACACCTGACTTCCATTTGCCCACTTTGGTGTGCGTGAGCTTCTGTGTGTGCTTCCTGTTGATTTTAGCAACCCATGCGAAATTTGGAATGTGCCTCTCCAACCCCCTGACATTTGCCAAAATCTGGTCGCTTGGCCGAGGCTCTACAACTCGTACTAATTGCCATTTTCTCCGCTTGCTCTCTTTCATTTCCGGTGGCCAGGCAACCAGGTGATCCGTAGGCCTTAAACTGGCGCTCAAGGTCAGGAAGCATCTATCCTTCTACTCGCCGACGCTGCTGAGCGCCGCCTTCACCAGTCTGAACGGTGTGTACAACAACAGCAGCAATAGCAGCGATCCCGCTCCGGACGAGGAGCCCGACCAGCCAGCGAGCCAGCACCACATCCACCATTCAAGGGTGAGCCACCACATTCCGCGGGAGCCCAAGCAGGACAGGGATCGCGAGACGGAGCGCGACCAGGAGATGGGCGGCCCAACGGCGCCGGTGGCCAGCAGCGGCGAGGTGGGCCAGACGTACTGCCTCCGCTGGAACAACCACCAGACCAATCTGGTACAGATCCTGCACGCCCTGCACGAGGTGGGCAGCTATGTGGACTGCAGCCTGGTGGTGGACGATGAGCAGTTCCAGGCCCATCGCGTGGTTCTGGCGGCCAATTCACCGTATTTCCAGCACATCCTGAAGGATGTGCCGCAGGACCACTGCAGCATTATACTGCCGGGAGTGAAGGGCTTCGAGATTGCCGCCTTGCTGCAGTACATGTACACAGGCGAGACGACGGTGACCAAGAGCCAGGAGCCGGAGATTCTGCGTACGGCCAAGGAGCTGCAGGTTAAGGGTCTGTACGACAACTTGATGAAGTTCAATCATGCCAGCGTCACGCCCACCTCCAGCTCGGGAGCTGGCGGAGCCAAGCCCCAGAACGGATCCGCATCCAACCACTCCTCATCCGTGATCTCCACATCCACACACATCTCGCCCAGCGCCGCCATCTCGAGCAGCTGCTCACCACCACCGCCGCCGCAGTTTGGCTATCAGCCGGGCTACAGCCACTATCCTCAGCAGCAGCAAATGCCGGCCAGTCAAATTCCGGCCGGTGAGGCTCCACTGACCCCCACCCAGGCCACGCCCCACTCGGCAGCCTCGGGAGCGGGCGAAGCCGGCGGCCAGTGGCCACTGACGCCCTCCGCCGCCGCCGCCATGTTGAACTCTGTCTACGAATCAGCCGCCGATATGAATCCTCTCAAGCGCAAGAAGCTGTCGGCCATTTCAAGCATGCTCCTGAGTGGAAATCGCGACACACCCATCCTGAGAAACGTTCTGGCCCAAGCTAATCCCGCTGACTCCTCGCAACCCGGACCAATGAATGCCAATGGAGAGAAGACGCCCACTCATCCACACCAGAATACCCAGCTTCCGGCCGGATTGGGAGTAAGTGGAGGCGAGCGCAATCACAGCTTCAATGGGTCAGACTACGGCGGCGACAAGGAACCACTTTCGCCCTACACAGATCGTTCCTTTGAAGAGGAGACCGGTCAGTCCGGGGGCAAGAAGCCGGAATGGAAGCGGTACAAGCAGTATACCAGAGCGGACATGATGTGCGCCATCCAAGCGGTGAGGGAGGGAATGAGTGCCCTGCAGGCGAGCAGGAAGTATGGTCTGCCCAGTCGCACCCTCTACGACAAGGTCCGTAAGCTGAACATCACGACTGGACGTGGCACCCACCGCACACCGAAACGCAGCCCTCCGGGAGCAGAGTCCTCGCAGGGTTTTTCATATTCCGCCGCGGCAGCCGCTGCTGCCCACAACTACGGACATGGCCATGGACATGGCCATCACTCGGAGGTGAAGCGTGATCAGAAGGTGGACCATGTGCCCGCCCATCACGGCATGCCGCCCACCATTCCACCCTCAGCTGCGGCTCTCCTGGATCACGCTTTCCTTCAGCAGGCTCTGGAGAACCGTGGTGGTGACATGGCCGGCCGAGAGGCTCTCCATGCCATGGCACTGGCCGCAGCTGCCCATGCCGCTGCCAATCGCCTGTCCACCAGTCCGGCGGAGATGGACCAGCGCTCCAATGGCCATGGCATGCGGTCGCCAAGTCCGCAAGGTCGTCACTATCCGCACGAGCAGGAGGCCATGGACTTGGAGATGGAGAAGCACGAGCAGAATATAATCAAGCGGGAACGCGACCAGGACGAGCGTGAGGATGCGGACGATGAGGAGGATCATGAGCAAGAGCACGTGGAGGATCTCTCGCTGGCCAGAAAGGAGCGGCCACCATCGCCCTACTCGCCGCAGCCAACCGAGGGTGGTGCCGGCGTGATCATGCACGCCAGCAGTGCGTCCGCCAATGGCAAGGATCACGAGGACTACCCATCCTCGCCGCAGTTCGTTCCCATTGGGCTGAAGAGGGAGCTGGTGGAAGCCGAGGACGCTCAGGCCCGGGCCGACTGATTGACGCTCACAATGGCCTGGCAGTATGCCACGGACAGCCTAGACTCCTTGGAGTAGGCCAGGCTTAGATAGCAACTCCTATTGTTCAAACCCAATTAGATCCATCCTTGTGTTACTTTCCTTACTTACCATCGGCGACTCAGGCGCCGACCAGCGTTGGTGAAGCTTTAAACGAAGAAACCTCATCCCAGTCGTTGTGGGAATCATCCGCACCAGCACCTGGCACCCATCGAAAATCAAACCCACACACTAAACTAAATTGTTGTCAGCATCACTTTGTGCCTAAAAACAGAAATGTTAGGATATAGATAGTAGTATAGGTCAGCATAGAATACAGATAGATACCCTAGGCTAGGCACTCGTAGGCCATCTTTGGAAACCAGCTAGTTGTAGGCCTTAAACCAGTTCTACTCCACCATCCCGATGCCGGCCAACTGACAAACTAAGATATGTGTGCATATGTAAACCCACTTACATGAGACTGAAGGCGGAATCGGGAGGCGGTGGAGGAGCTATCTAAGGACAGAGCAGAAGAGGCTCCCATCAGAATGGGTTAGCGGGTTAGCTACACCTTGTACAACTTTGTTAAATGCCAGTGATTTGTTTTAAAAATTATTAGCACTAGATTATTTATAACGACCATGCATGTACGTGGCCTTACTTTTATGATTTCCGAATCGAAGAGAGAGCAGAAGATCCCACTTGAACAGAACTACCTCAAATAGCGTATCTTTGTTAGCCTCATGTTATCCTGTTAGCGAGATATTTAAATCGTCCTGGGTTGAATTTATAAGACTGACACCGACTCAAACGTACCACGAGCAAGAGCACACGCATTAAAATACAATTACAAACTAAACTTAAATACGAATCGAGACCCTTAGTTGAAGATCTGTAAGTTTCCCGCAAATTGATTAGTTATAAGGCCATCAACTAAATGTAAGCACTAAAACTATACTATTTATAAGGCAAGCAAAACAAAACAAAACACATGAAAACATGCGCTGGGGGCAATGCAATAGGCTCTTTAATTATAAACACCTACACTTATGCAACTATATAGTCGTACGGTCGATAATGTTAATTTGTTATACGAGTAACTCTGTACATAGCATCATAGTCCACACACACATGCGAATTCTAGATCTAGCTTTAAGTATTCCGAATTGTACTGCAATTTAAATTATCCCTAGACACCCGACTTTCATCATGTAAAAATCAGCGAAAGAACGCGAAATAAACTGACTGAAGAATCAAAAACGGCACAATATTTATTATAAAAATACCAATATTGAATTTTACTAGAGTGCTGCTATTTTAACCAAGGAGAACGCTATAGTCGAGCTCCTCGACTATTCGATACCCGTTGCTCGGCTAAAGAGTATGCATGTAAGCACTTTATAACGGGTAGCATGACCTAGTCGTGTATATTGCAGACGAAGAACGGAGCTCACAACAAGTTCGTAATCAGTGACATCCAACGCAGTTGGGACTTCGCTCCTCGAAATCGCAAATACCGATGGCAAAACGAAATGGTTTATGTTGCGGCAAGTGCATGGGCTTCGTGGAGGGCATCGTCATTCTCGGAATATAGAACTCACGCTCTTCGTACGTCTTGACTATTCGAGGACAGTCCGCTGACCGGGGCACATGGCAGTTGACAATCGAGAGGGAACGATCAATGCTGATGAGCGGCTCATCGTTGGGACTGTGCCCCCGCTGTTTGCAATGGGCCAGCAGCTTGGCCTCGCTAAGGAACTCCAATCGGCAGAAGTTGCAGTGGTAGTTGATCCCTTTCTTGTGGAGCTGAAAGTGGCGGTCCAACTGGTGCTGCAACTCAAACTCTTCTCGGCACTTATGGCAGATGTAGAGGCCGCGGTTCTGGAGATGCAAATGGTAGTCTAGGAAGACCCTGCAAAGAATCAACATTCATCATGTAGTACACCACTTCGAATAATAAGTTCGTTGACACTTACTTGCTGGTGAAGACATCGCCGCACTTGTGACAGTAGAACCAGCTCATCTTCCAATGTTCCATGTAATCGTGCTTCATTAGAGCTACTAGGGTGTCCGTCTGGTAGCCGCAGCCTGGCGTAAAACAAGTGAATGATTTCAGTCGCACCTGCGTCTTAAGCAGGTCGAGTAGGTAAAGATCTGTCAGTGGATTACAGCAATTTTAACAGAACGATAACATATTTGAAAAGGTATTTACCATACTCTTTGTCCGTGGTCATATGCGTTTCCACCATACCGTAGTCCCCGTACAAAAGGGAGAGATTACCAGCGCTGTTGCTATTGCTGCGGCTGTGGTTAACGATCCAGTCGCCAGTAAAGTTCATACGTCGCGCGTACATGGCATCCTCCTGCTCGTCATCGCCCTCTTCAAGTTCCTCGCCACCGCTTTCGTTCTCTTCATCGTCGTCATATTCCTCATCCACGTCGTACCTATCCCAGGCTTCGGAGCAAGCCCGCGAACGAGAACGTGTGGAGCATGCCCTTGGCACCCGGGAGGACTGAACGGTTTGCCCTGATTCCTCCCGCTCCAGGATTGCTAAGGCCTGTACAGATAAGTGTTGCAGGTAAATGTATATTTTTTGAGATGTATGCATACTAACCTCCTGCTTGGCCTGGCAGATGGTGTGATGCATTTCCCACTCGTACTTCGTGTCCAACTGAGCATCGCACAAGTCACAAGGATATCGCTGCTGATGCTTCAACCGCTCATGCTGCCGCTTACCGACAATGGTTTCGAATTCTGCATCACAATGCCGACAGTAGTATATGCGCGCGGATCGGGTAACTCTGGACGGCGATTTTCCATCATAGCTAGCCTCATTGAGGACACGACATTTGGCGCGCGGAGGTCGGGGCTGTCTTCTACGTGTATTGGAGCAGCGCCTTAAGTGCAGGGCGTAGTAGTCTCGCCGAAAATATGCCCGACCACATTCAGGACACTCCAGCCGCGTTCTCCATTTCCAGCCCTCCGCGTGCTTCTCATCCTTAGCCGATGGAGAATAGGGTTGTTGAGCGAGGTAGACTTCCAGCACGGAGCAGGAGGAACGCGAGCTGCGAACGCTCTGCCTGCTGTGCGTCACTTCCTCCTGACTCTCTATCAGGGTGGTGGACACTTCTGCATCGGCAATGGGTGGACTGTGCTGGCTGGGCGAAGTAGTAGTGGTTGTCACCTTGGTGGTTTCTCCTCCGGAACGCTGCAGCAGTTGCATGCGCTGCATCAGAGATCGAGTGACCTCCGAGTGCATGTTCAGCTTGCACACGCACTCCACGCAAATGGCCTTTAAAGTGGATCGGATTACATCGGCCTGAGAATGAAGGAGAACTTAGAGCCCGGACTTCAGGATGGGATCATTTCATTAGTACTCACATGGATCTTCCAGTCGCGACTCAGGCGACGTTGCATTACATGGTTGGAGCGCAGATCTAAGAGAGCCGAGGCCTTCGCGGCACCACATATGGTGCAATTGGCATCGTTGGCTTCCGCCTCCCGCTCGGCATGATTCTGTACCGAATCCCCGCGATTGTCTTTTTCAACAGAGCAATTGCCGTCGGTGCTGGTGGGTTCCGGATCCGGAACTGTGGCATCCTGCATCCTGCTGTAAAGAGCGTGCTGCTTGGTGGCAAATGGCCCACGGCTTGGGTTTCCTCCTGTTTCCGCTGATCTCAATATATTCCACTTGATCCTTATGTCATTCCTTTTCCAAATTGCCTGCGTGAGTCCAAAAACTACCCTCAAAAACGCCGAATTCCAAGTGTTTTTATCTCGTAAATATTTTTTTAAAGAACACAATGCAGTGTGACCGTTATGATGGTTCAGAATATATACCACAGGAGACTTCAAAGGTCTGGCAGCCCTAAACAAAGTCGATAGCCGCTAGGTCGCTAAGCGCCTAAACGTATTCATATTCATAACAAGGGCTTTTTTGGATTACAAGTAAATTCAACAACCAAGCTCCAAATAGAGTACTTTTAAAATAACTTCCACACTCAACTCATTCCTTCGCGCCGGCAAAAAAGTACAACAAATTAAATTATAAAATTTTTCTAAATTTGAATGCAGACTTTTGGAGAAGTGCGCCACTTCAAAATCCGACAAGACTGTTTTACTTATTTGTCTCCTATATATAATATAATCATTCAATTATATATTCATGAATGAATATTAAATTCATTCTTTCGGTTTGAAGAAAATAATTCAAACTGATGCGGGGAAATACAAAATTCTGATTATCGATAGCTCGACAAATTATTGGTTCGGCGAATTAATCGAACTGCTGTGTGCGATAGTTTCCGCGCACTGACAATCGCCCACCACTAGCTGTCATTCGGCGACGCGACGAACTGAAATCAACGTGCTTATTCTCCGCTCGGTATTTTGCCAGAAGAAAACTAATCGAAATGGGCGTACAAGTGGTTCCAATTGCTCCTGGTGATGGTGAGTTTCTAATGATTTGGTTAGGACCCGCAAGAAATGCCATAAGCTGCCGGCATTTCTAACCTATGAAGTGCATTTTTGCGATGCACAATTCGGAAAATTACCTGCGATAATATGGTCGTCTCGCTCACACACATCCATTTTTGTATTTCCTGCCCACAGGCAGCACCTTCCCCAAGAATGGCCAAAAGGTCACGGTCCACTACACCGGCACCCTGGACGATGGCACCAAGGTGAGTACTAGTCCCGGTCCTCGCGAGCCCCAGCTAACGATCCGCTTTGAATCCCATGCAGTTTGACTCGTCGCGCGACCGCAACAAGCCCTTCAAGTTCACCATTGGCAAGGGCGAGGTCATCCGTGGCTGGGACGAGGGAGTTGCCCAGTTGAGCGTCGGCCAGCGCGCCAAGCTGATCTGCTCGCCGGATTATGCCTACGGAAGCCGTGGCCACCCCGGCGTCATTCCGCCCAACTCCACCCTCACCTTCGACGTCGAGCTGCTCAAGGTCGAATAGGCGCACAGGATGCCTAATGTGTATACCCCCAACCAAATCGCAGGGGGCTGCGGACCGGCGCACCGGCGACGAGCCGAAGAACATCAGAATCGGAACCAGAACAATCCAGCAGCATTTGCCAACCCAAAATAATTATGATAACTTCACACCCAGCTCTAAACTAGAACTAATTTAACCGCAAAGGGAACGCATCTTCTACCAATACAAATAAACATTTATTCAAGTCAATGACAAAGCGATGTGTTTTTTATCTAAAAGCTTGGGATAATCACCTCCAGTCAGTTAGTTACCTCTCCCTTATGCAATTTCTATTTCCAACACAAATACACAATACACTTCTTAAACTTCTCTTTATTTATAAATCATGAAAATATATAAAAATTGCCGGCATAAAAATGTTTTATCGTTCCCTTGATAGACTTGAAGTAGTCTATTTGACAAGTTAAATTATTTAATATATATAAAGTGTAAAATCATCTTAATCGCATATATATTCAATTCAGTGGTAACAGGATATTTTAATCCTTTGTTTACAATTAATCCAGGTCATTTTGCATTCTCTATACCCCTTTCCCAATAACCTAGACACGCTTCAGTTCTTGCAGACCACGTTCATAATCTTATCAATAACTTCATAGCGCTCCTTCTCGTATTTTTTGATATGCTTCAGCCAGTGGCCCCGCACCTTCTTCCAGCGGGTTACATTGGAGGAAAGCAGATCGAAGGCACTGGCTCCTTCGAGAGCCTTCTCCCGCTTCTTTTCCTCCTGGCTAAACTCCAGACGATGCGGAATTATGGGTAGATTCGTGGACTTTGGCTGCGGCAGCTGGGTGAGCATCTTCATCTCACCGCTTTTCAATTGGGACAGGATCTCCTCCCCGTTGTCCTCACGTTTGGTGGCCGTAAATGAACCATCTGTTTGAAATGCGGCTACAGCGGGATTCCGGGGTTGATTCGCCATCCAGGCGCGACATATGGGGTACAAAGGAGTCCCATCCTGGTATTTGGAAAGGTCCAAACTTCGCTCAAACAGTCGCATCACATAGGACTCGCCGGGAGCCTTCTGGGCTGCTGCCGCTCCGCCAACATTCTTCTTGTAGAGCACTCTCCGGGCCTTGATGCGTCCTCCGGCGGCGGCTGCACTCGAGGATGTCGACGGTTTCCCGCTGACGCCCGCCGTGACCGCCTTGACATCCGGCTCTAGCTTTACCTGGTACTGGCGCTGCTGTTGCTGTTGGAGCAGCAGCTTCTTTGAGGGACGGCCCCGAATGGGCAAATCCGACTCCGCGTCGTCGTCCGGCGGCTGGTTGGTCGTCTCTGGTTTCTGCTCCTCACGACGCGACTCCCGAAGGCGCAGGGACATCTCCTTCTTCTTTGGCGTGGTTTTCATTTCCAGAAAACTTTTACTAGAGAGAAAAATTAAGGAAAAACAATTTCGAATGCCAAATCGGAAATCAAACGGACTTGTGGCGCTTCACAACACTGATACACCACTTCGCCACCCAACACTACACAAGTCAGCGGTTTTACAAAAAATACCGCACATTTAAAGAACAGACTTCTTTAGTTTGAATTGTAAAAATTCCTTGAATTCCTTGAATGAATATAATAAACAAAAAAAAGAAATAACATAACAAATTATATTAAGTGTATATTTTTTAACTAAATATATAATTCTATGATATAAGAATGCAAAAATATTAAATAGTTTTTGATAAATAAATTATTTTATTATTATATATTAATGTAAAAATAAAGGAAAGTAAATATTTGGTATTTTTAAATGTGATGATATGTCTCAAAGCCTTTCGGTTTCTTTGGCCCTCCTTCTCTGGTCACACTGCTGTTTTGTGATCGCGAAAAGGGCGACGTGAAAAAATACGTTTAATTAAGTTTAATGCGACAAATAAAATAAATGATTAAATTAAAACAAAGCGGAGCTTTTGTGTGAACTGTGGGTGTAGTTGTGAGTGTGTGAGAAAAGAAAAACGAAAACAAAGCCAACGAAGAAATCGAAGGGGCAAAAGTGGAAAAGATTCAGATTGAAATATTGAATGTCAAAGAACAAACGGCAAAAAGAGCGGGGAACAAAGGAATATTGGAAAACTCAGAGAATTTAACTTATTTGGTAAGTGAAAACGGAGAAAAGGGATGCAATTGGCAAAACTCTGGATGTTGCTACTTCTGCACATGCACACAATCATATACCATTGGGAACTGCGCAGGTGTGGGTGGATCTGCTCTGTGTGCAAATAACAAATTGTGAAAAACAACTCGCACACACAAGCGATTACCTAGTGCACCAAATAAAAGCAATAAATAAACACATTCACACACAGGCAACATGCCTTGAATGCGTTTTTAAAGGGGGAGGGGCCATACCAAGTTTCCCAACATTTCACTTTTCCAATCGATCTCAGTTGTTTTTATATATGTATATTTTTTATCTACTATTGCGTAGCTGCCAATGTCACCTGTTTTTTGCTCTCTCTGTCTCTCGCGCTCTCACCCTCCTTCTCGCTTGCTCCCACGCTGGCTGTAGCTGGTTTTTATCTTGTGCCGTTAACACAGCCATTACGTGTCTCTTTCGCACTCGCACTGCACATCGGTGCTTGTGTGTCTGTGCAAGACTGCACGTACATAACTGTATTACCCGTTCGTACATGCGTATACGTATTTCCGTCTATTGATAACGGCTAAAACTCCCTCGAAATGGTCTTATTTTCGAAATATGTAAACGAAACCACCTCCACCCACCGCCCACTCAACCCCCTTCCTCCAACCGCTTCTAATCGCAAAGTGCAAATGTTGATTTCCTATGTGTGCTTTTAGATTTTCTCCCACTATCAATAACAATAAGCGCTCTCTGTACGTTGTTGTTGTCGCGGTTTAGTTTCGTATTAAGAAAACAAGTTCACAAGTTTTTGCACTTGTCTTGCACTGTAAAAACACGAGTGATATTTAAAAGATCCGATAGAAATACATTTATACATAAAATTGCTTGTAAGGGTTTGGTGATATGTAAATGTAAAATCCATCAATAATTTTGTAATATAAATTAATGTAAAAGTAAATGGAGATTTACTTATTTTTTTGAGTGTTTAGTATTGTTTCTGTTCCGTTTTGTGACTTTGTTTATGTGGCGATTTCCTTGTAATTGCGGGAATTTCCCGGCATTTCAGCAATTGAGAGGGCAAATATAAAGCAGATATACAAAAAATCATCATCTGTGTGATTATATGAATTCTGTTTCAGTATTGAAGCGGTAACTCTCCCTTTGAGCTATTCAATATTTTAAGCAATAGCATCAAAACTGCATTAATCACGGCCATATTTTATTAAATACAAGGAATCTCATAAATTAAAACGCGATTTAAATGATAGTTAAAGCGACTTTTAATTTATGTTTGTTTATCATGAACCAAAAACTGTAATTCCCTTATAAATTTGGAAATACCCAAGATTGTGGAGCACTTGTATGTACATATGTATACAACTTTAAGTTAAAATACTTTGAGTTCCACTAAATTTCGTTTAAAATATGAATACTTCTAAATCCTTTTGTTGAAGTCAGTGGAACTAAATGGATCCTTTTGTTGTATGACGTGAGGCGAAAGTGCTTATTATAAGCAATATAAACTGCCTTACTTAGGCAGCTTTTTTGAATGTCATGATATGACAGAGTTTAAATGACATAATATATTAATACATATTCCATTACATAATGTTGATTCTCCTACTCGAATACTGCATCAAGAAAACTTAAAAATCTTCTATCTAAGTGTTTTACCCACTTGAGTGACTACTGTACAATGAAAACTTTCCCATCAATTCGAATCTATCTTATCGCCAGCAATTGTGTTGATATTTTGTTTCGGTTAGGGGCGAGTTGAGAAAAATATATATTCATATGTATGTACATATGTCCCCTGTTGCGAAGAGACACAAATGTCGCGCGATAAGGTGGGCTTCCCCCCACCAACCGCAGCACACCTGGTTGGATTTGGACATCGACTAAAAATAACTCCGCTTCGATTATTTTCACAATTTGAAAATGGCAAATTGCGGCGATTGGAGGCATGATCATATGGCTGTATTATAATAAATGAACAACTTGTTGTATTAGTTATTAGTTTACACAGGAGGCAGGCGAGGTGTTCCATGTTGATTTTCCTTTGCGATAACCATTCCATATCCATTCCCCCACCGATTTTGATTTCCCATGCCCATATTCTATTCTAGAATTCGGCAATGACGTCAAGGCCTGACGTCTGCAGAAAATTCCGCAAAACGCCTCTTCAAATTATTGGCGAGGCAAGAAAAGCTAAAGAAAATCGGCGAGCGAGCACCAGAATACAAAATAAAATTATTTTCGTTCCATTTTTCGTCTTTTGGTATTTTGTGTGCTGCTTCCATTCCGTTTCATGTCTCTGCATTTGATTTATAATTTTCACAATTCACATACTTTCCGTTCCTCTATCTCATTTTATTTAATTTCCGAGTCGTTTTGTTGTTTTGCGACAAAGTGAAAGTTGTTTTCCATGTTATTTACTACAGCCCTCTTTTTTTTTTTTGGTTTATCTCCTCTTATTTTCCCAGTTCTTTTCGTCTGTCCATATGTTTTGTGTTTCAAAAGCAAGTTGAAGGTGCGGGAAGGACGCCTTCTAGTACGTAGTTCCTTTCGCAATTATTTTTGTATTCAAGCATATTTTTGGCGATTTTTTGTTATTTATATATGTTTATTTTTTGACATGCCAGACAGCGAGATTTCCGGTCAATATGCATCGATACCTTAAAGTCTTTGAGGGCGCCAACACGCCAACACGGCATGGTAATTCCCCAGTCCAGCCAAGATATTATCAGACTTATTGGATTGATGGACAGGGAGATTATACGTGGGCTTGCCTGTAAATCGTACCAAACTAAATGTTTGGGGAAATGCCTTTAAAATCTAGATTTGGCATTAGTTAAAAAGTCTGGAAACAGCAATGATTTTCAGGATATAACTGCTAGCTACACATTTTAAATATTTTGTGTATAGCCTAGTACAAGATATCAATAAATAATATGTTATTATCTAAACTTGAAGTATTCGCTAATGGTATTAACAACTGCAGGTTTATAATTTGAGCCTCATGAACATTCAAAGTTCATATGGCATGTGAAACGAAATGTAATCATTGGAAATTCCCATAAGACAATTTCATGTAAATCGGGAAAAGAACACGCGCTCACATCACCGCCACCAAAAGTTCTACAAAGGCATTTTAATGAATGGAAATTTTGGGTCAGCTAATTACAAGAGTTACACACCCACCGAAATTTCACTCCCTCACAATCGAAAACACCTAAACAATCGTGAGCTGCCATAATTTTAATGACTTTGTAAACTTTTTTATTTTGTGTTTTTGGCACACAGTGCGAACTTTTATATATTTTTTTCAGGTTTTTGTTGCCCTCAGCTGGTTTTATGTTTGTTTAGCGTGTCCTCGAAAAGGCTGAATAAAACAAAAAAACCAAGTATAAAATAATACAAATGATCTCTTACCTGTACAATAAGTATAATGTGCAAACAGTGCGTAGCAAAACTGTAGGAGCTTCATAAAAACTGAAACAGAAATTACGAAACAATAGCAAAAAAGACTTTTAAGAGTACTTTTTAAGTAACCCTATGTGTTATCATAAAAAAATGAACAAAATAATAATAGTATTATTTCTAGGCCTGTCGAAAATAACTGAAAATATTTACTGAGATATCTGGGTAGTATCTTTGCAAATCCGAACCGCACTGTACTCATGTGTGTGCATATGAAGATATGTATTATCATTCCACACGAGTACTCTCAATTTCTTATATACACTACGGCCTGCGAAATATTTGACGTCGATTTCCGATTTTCTGGCTTGTGCATTCTGGGCATCTCGTCTGTATGGGTGTATCTCTATCTCTCCTATCTGCCCTGCATATATCTGGCTAATTGTGAAGGTCGTTTACGTCTGCAGTCGATCGCCCCATGCTTGTTGTTGTTTGTCTGCCACCCGCTATAAGGAAAAATAAGAGGGAAAATGAGAGGCAAACAAGGGGGAAGCTGGCAAACAAAACGTAGCAATCTTAAGAGCACAGAAAACGAATTTTCATTGCCTTGCCATCGACCCCTCGGCAACCCCTCCCCCACCGAATTGAATTCCATTCCCAACAAATTTCGTACCAAAAAAAAAGTGGAGAAATTGTCTAAATATTTTCAAATATCAGATCGCAATTTACGTGTTCCGCTCATCCGTCTATAAGTACCCCACAAAATGATGTTGGAATTTTATGGAACTAGCGAGAAAAAAATTTAAAAAAAAATATAGAAGACAAGAAGAATTGTTTTCATCATATTCCGAGGTTTATCTTTAATGGCTTCTTAATTTCCTTGGCAACTTGAAAATGTTGTTATCGCGGGCAAAAAAAGCTTCAATTTAATTTTAAAATAAACAGCAACTGGAAAGTGAGAAATATATGTAAAATGATAATTTATTATTTATGTTTTGCTGGCCAATTTTAAAGGCGCCATCGCCGCCTATTTAGTGGGTTATATTTTAATAAATTATACGTTTTTGTATAGATTTTGTGTCTCTGACATGGTTTTGCTTCGCTTTATTATTTGTTTTTATTTATTTTGTCAGACTAAAAGTGGGGATGCGCGGGCGGTTCTAATACTTGGCTAAGCCGCTGGCTAATTTAAGCGATTTTCATTTGGTCGTTGATGGACAGCAATTAAATGCTTATCCCACTTGATGGGTTTTCGCTTTTTAATATTAATTTGCTGCGTCTTCAACTCTTTCACCTTAGCTAGCATATCATTAATTTTGTGCCTTGATTCTTTTTTTTTTTGTGTTTTTTGTTTTGTTTTTATATGTACTGGCTTTCTTGTTGTTGCTGCGCTTTTTCGAATATTTCATTCAATTTTCTTAGCTTCGCAGTGTTGGTGTGAAACACCCACACAAAAATTTATTTTTATAAAAGAGAGCGGCTAAGAGAAAGATACAAATTTCTTTTACAAAGTGGTATTAGTGTGGCAAAAATATTGAATGATTTAATTGATTCGTTACGGGATCTATTATATTTCTCACATTTATTTTGAACTACCCAGCGTAATATCCTACTTGTTCCACTATGCGTATGCTTAATATGCACCACATTCAAGTGCTCACATTGTGAACTTTAGGAAACATCGACGAAATGTTTTGCTTTTCAGTATCTTTATTGTTAACTCTTTATTTTAGTTTGAATTTCGACAATTTTCTCGGGAATAAATATATATTACACCTTTTGTTTACGCTCTCCCAAACATTTTCCACACACAAGTAGAATGATGCCTCTTTGGTGCTCATGATCTTTTCGCTTTGTAGGCCTTTAGTTCTCAAAATGTGCGATATTTGTATTTCAGTTCTTCGCTGGCATTTAAAGCGTTCAAACGCGTTCGAAGTAAACTGAAATCCAAATGATTTTTGTACCGAGAACTTCGGGATTAAAAGTTGTGTTTAAAGGAAAACAATTACGCAAAACAATTGAAATTTGTGCGACGGAACAAAATTTAAAAGCATCCAAATAAGAAACCTCACAATATACATACATATATGAAAAAATAAAACAATTTTTAAAACTAGCAGTGCTAATAACGACGAAAATTTTGAAAAGTGAAATTGTGTGATAATTTTTGACAGCATGAATAATATACTTTCATAAATGATAAAGGAAAATTTATAAAATTAAAAGTTTTTAACGGATATCATTGTTTTATCGTTGAGTTTAATTACTGGCAATTAACAATAAATTACAATTTACTTATATAAAATGTAAGTTTAAACGAAAATTACAAAATGCCCTTAAAATATTAAGTATGTGCTATAGCACATTTTAAATATATTTAAAATGTTGAAATAAAAAGGAAATCGTGTATTTTATTCGGATTCTCATTACCATATACTCTTATTAACAACTATCACTTCGTGTGCATGAGAAATGAGGCGCCACTAACTTATCTAGTCCGGCAATATAAAGTATTTAGGAGATATATGTATGGCCTTTTAATTGTGCTATCCTTGACAATGGCCCATTCTTTTGGTCAATCAAAGCGAAATATAGACAATATGGCACGGCTACGTTGTGTCATAAATATTTTTAAATATCCCATGTCATTTTGGCAAAGATCTCTCTCCGTCTCTGCTTATCCGCAGCTTTTTTATTATTTTGAAAAATGATAAAAAAGAGAAATAGAAAAAGTGTTCGCAACACGCTTAGTAAATGTTCTAAATCGGGCAATGGTATAATCTCGAATGAGTGAACCGAGAAATCGATTTCCTTTCCTCTTAGTAATTGAATTATAGCCAAGCACCTGACTGACGGGTTCTTTTGCATTTTTCCAGGTCTCCAGCTGTGACAAATGATGGCCTAAAATGGCGGCTACACCACCAATGCCGCCCGGATCAAACACCCACCAATTGAATGGCAAAGCAGTCGGCAAGGGCAACCCCCTAACTGAGGCGATCAATCAACACTTTCTGCGGAAGAACCAGAATCAGAGCCCCAACCCCAGTCAAAATCCGAATCCCAACAGTCCCGCCAGCCGCAGCGGGAGCTATGAGCAGCTGGAGCTGCTGGATCACGCAACGCATCCACAGCAGGAACAGGAAGCCACCAGTGGCAAGGCCAAGCCGAGCTGTCATTGCACCAACATTAGTATTATGCACCTGTTTCATGAGATGAAGCAGGAGTTCCCCACGATACCCGATGCCATAGTGACGCAATGCGTCAATGAGAATTGCCATCAGCGCGAAAACTGTATCCAGATGTTGAGGAAGGAGCTTGCGCTCCATCCCATCCCAGTTCAAAGTTATCCGGCGAAGGTGTTGCAGCAACAGCAGCAGCAACACCACCAGAACAGGCAGGCCAAGCCTCCTACGCCCCTTAAGCCGTCACGGGCAGCACCACCACAACCGGAAGCAGGGCTAAGCAATGGATTGGCTACGCCGCCAGGTGTTGGTAGCTTACAGCCTGATACGCAGCCCCGGCCACGACCCACGACGCTTAATCTGCAACGTCAGTTTAGCACTCAGCTGCAGCAAAAGATTCTGCAGCGCCAGCAGCGTCAGCAGAGGGATCACCAGGCTGCCCAGCTGACGCCCACTTCCTTGAGCAAGCCACTGCGCCGGGCACCGCCACTTCCGCCGCCACCCAAACCGAAGCCCGGTAGCTTCTCAAACGATTCCTCATGCCTCACCAGTCCCATGAGCTCCAGCGATTCGGAGCTTTCGCTCAATGCGGTCCCCTTATCGTCACCAACGTCGGCGGCGGCTACTGGTGCTGCGGCGTCAGCAGCAATCGCATCAACGCAACAACAACCCTCGCCGGTGCGACATCGCTCAGTCGTTACGCTACAGCCAGAGCCGCCGTTCGCGCGCGACTTTCGCAGCATTGACTTTCCGGCGACGACTACGTGTACGCCTCCGCTTCCCTCGCCCAGCTCGGCAGCGTCACCAAGTGCCCCTGGCGGACGCAAGAGCTTCACCTCGCTCAATCTCACCCTGCGCCAGCCGACGGGCTCAGCGCAATCGGCCATTGACATCACCGCTGGCCCGGCGCCCAGTGGGCAGGGCAGTGGGATCACCTACTCCAGCGTTAGTTTTGACGCGCGTCGTGGAACGCAGAAGAATTTCCAGCTGACTGTGACGGACGAGGGCAGTGTCTTCAGTGCAGGCAGCGTTCGCCCAAGGACTTTATACGCAGCGCCTTGTGAGCCGGTGGCAAGTGTTCCAGCAAATCAACAGCCTCCGCCGCCAGCAGCAGTGGTGGCGGATGGTCTGGGGGACGCCGATATGACGTCGGATGTTTTCCCCTATCCAACGCAGGAGCAGAACCACATTGTGGCGTCCAACTATAGTAACAACCATGCCGTCAGCGACAATAACAACATTGGGATCAGCAACAGCACGGACAGTAGTCCCACCATGCCCCTTTACGAAGGAGTCATGGAGGAATGCGATCGCGAAGGTGCGTTACCCTTTATCAGAATGAGGGAGTAAACATATAGCAGGAAACTCGGTGCTTTTAGGGGCACACGTGGTTGGCTGAGCTGCTTTTTATTGCCATACTCTAGAAATGGGGGAAGCTACTTTTGGAATAAGTTTGAAAAAACATTTTTTAGTGCATCCCATTGAGTGAAAATTGCCATTAATTGCAATTACTTCCTTGAATCCAAAAGTGTGTCAAACTTTAACAAAAATGGTCTGTATAGTCAATTAACAAGGGTGTCTATTGCTTCGCTAACAAAATTCGAATCTACATTCTTGTTATTATTGAGTTCCAATGCCCGTTGGATTCCAATGCTTATCGACCAGACGACGTCGTAGTTGGGCTCCGAAGATTTGTTATCAGCGAGCAGGTTCGCCCAATATTGTTTACACGTGATAAGGAAATCGAATTACGCCCTGAAATAGAATTAGCGGGAACTGGGCTTTCTTATGTTTCGCAAACTGGAACATTTTCGATAGGGTTCAATTTGCTTCAAGGGATTGTTGAGGATGGGTTCAAAGTGCCACAAAGCAGGGGTTAACCAGAGTCATTATCGATGCAGCGTGTGTTCAAGTTATGGAATTAAAACCAGTGATCAATGATTGCGAAACAGGTTTAATTACAAAGCAAAAGCAAAGTAATTCCAGATGGAGATACATCTTGACGTCATAACTACGGGATGGGGCGGTTATCAGTAGGTGATAGTGAGTGAGATCACGAGAAAGGAAAAGCAACAGTTGATGTCGTATTTCATGAGTTTCTTTTACGTATGTTTGTTGGTCGTCATAATGCTCCATTTGATTATAATTGAATATTTTGATCTTAGCAATTTATAAAAAACTGAAATATATAGATAAGCAATTAATGTTTATTCGTATATTTTTTCCTATAAATTCATGTACTCATATTTCAATGATATATACAATGTGTTCCATATCATATAAAACCTTATCCATATCGAACGCCCACGCGTTCCAAGTGTTATAGATCGAAATGTCTTTTGTTTTTTGTCTGGCTTCTGGCTTTGGCCATGTTTTCCCCGACTTCGTACCCCCCATCTCACTTTTCACATTATTTATACGTATTTCGCTTTCGCCGCTCTTTCTGCGACGTTTTCAATTTGTTTTCAACGCGAGTCGTTCAAGTTCAGGGCGATTTGTGTGGGTGGTAACACCAGTGAGAAACAAAGGAAAAGAGAAGAAAGCGGCCAGGAAAATCTCTCAGTTTGATCAGCCAAGGTATTAAGCATACGCAGCGTGGGCCCAAAAGGCACTTACACTTTGACATTTAATCACGCGACGCTATCACGAGAAACCACTTTAAATGTCATTCATATCGTTGGAGAATTTTCCACCGGGGCAGAATACATTGGAATGTAAAGAAGCCAAAGCCATTAATGAAATAATTTATCAATTAAGATGCCAGCGAATTTCACATAATGATGTGACATATTCTGCACATAAACTTGGATCGAAGATCCCTTGGCCCACTGCCCTGTTGGCTATTTCCGTTGGAAATCTATCAAGCGTCTAAAAATATTCAAATGAACAGTCGCCAAAAAGCCAAACACAAAATGCATCGAAAGACTTTGTCTGTGTGTTTTTTGTATTCATTTATTTTTACCTATTTTTTCGTAGAAATAAATTATTATTAGATTGATTTTTGGTTGTGCTTGCTTGCGCATTTTAACTAAATTTATCTATTTAAATATAAATTCTGTTTATGAACCCCTCTTAAATTGCGGTAGCCAAGCGGGAGGTGGGGTAATTATTTTTAGCAACAAAACAGAGTAATAAAATGAGAGGCGTTAGACAGAAAAATAAATCTAGCCGCGGGAAATATTTGGAAATGCGAATGCCGCAACGCAATCATTTGTTGCCAGGCCAACGGAGCCACACATTCCACACTTAGCAATCGATTGATCAGCTTTTCTTCTCTCCATATACTTCAGTTCATGCCGCCACAATTGAGCGGCAGAAGCAGCGGCGCGACAAGCTGGCCAATGCGCTGCGGGACAACAAGAAGCGGCTGCTCGTCCTGGAGCAGGAGATCAACATCCTGACTGAGCCGGTGCCGGTGGGGGAATCTGAAAGACTGGATAGAGATATCAAGCAACTGACTGAGGACTGTAAGCGTCTGCTTGACTGCTTAAATGGTAAAAATGATTGCAAAGCATTTCGGCTTCTGTCAAAGCTAACTCTGTTTCCTTGAATCCACAGAACCACAGGCGAATGGCCCTGGGCCGGCGGCCAATCCAACGAACCGCCAGCACTTGTTACCCGCCAGCATTGCTCCCCAGCATCAGCCACAGCCATTCCCGCGTCAGCGTCAAGGGGCTCGCGTCCAGGCGCCACCCAGTTCTCTGCGTCTGCACTCGGTGCCGGCAGCACCTATCTCCCAGCCGGCGCAGGACTTCGGGCAGCACCACAGCAGTGCTCCCACCTCGGCCTGCTTAACGCCCCAGATGCAGAGTCAACAGCAAATGTTCCAGCTGCAGCAGGAGCCGCCACCGACATATGCCCAGTACTGTCAGTTCCAGCAATTTCTGCAGCAGCGGCGACAGCAGCAGTTACAGCAGCAGATGCAGCGGCAGCAGCAGCAGCAGCAGCAGCAGCAGTTACAACAGCAGCCGCAGCCACAACAGGAGGAAGAATTCCAGTCCGACTCCGATGTGGATGAGGAGGAGGAGACGCTCGACTCGTGGGCCTGCAACATGTGTACATTCCGCAACCATCCACAACTAAATATTTGTGAGGCCTGTGAGAACGTTAGGATCCAGCCGGGTATGATACGCATTGTTCCCAGCGGAGGCGGGGCCGCTGCAGCTGCCACTCCCCCAGGGACCCTTGAGCAGCAACAGCAGCCGCCCCAGCAGCCGTACGCTCTGCATACATAACCCAAAAGCTGCAGCAAACGATTACAAAGTTCTCTTAACGTGCATGAGCTAGCTTCTGACTGTTCCTGCATGCTCGACTTTGAAACTGTGATAGCATTTAAACTAGTAGGCGGCAGGTTCACTATCCACTGCATGGCTCAACCTGAAAGACATGTGCGAAACGAAAAGAACAGCGAACGGAAACGAATTGCTTAAGCGCGGCCTCTTTAAATTATTTTATTATTTGATTTATGTATGTTTAATAATTAATAATTGCAATCGCCTCAGCCTCAGGCCGTTTAATTTAATAGTAACCTCTATCCGTTAAAAACTAGCTTTAAGCCAACGAAAAACAGAGTTTATTATTTTTAGCCACCTCAAAAGTAAATAAAGAACGTTATTTAAATATTTACACAAGCTTCGCCAGTTGTTGCTCTACACGTTGATTGGTAAAACGCAAAAATACATGTGTCTGGCTTTGTCCAAATGTTTACTTTTAGCCCCTGTGCTGAGTCGAGAGGACATACATATAACTCTGTCGCCGGGCGAAAATCGTAAGTATATATAAATAATTGCCCAAGTGCATAATCGTATTAATTGATCATCTTCGACGTGCAGGTATTATACACTCCTGGATTCTATCATGACAGTCGGCCAAACGCTCACCATGAGAACATAGACAGCTCCAGAGATACATATCTGAATTCTGCAACTGAATTTCACTTTAGTCTTCGGTAACTTATCCTAAGGAATTGTAAAAAAGAGGAACTATTTAGCAAAAATGCTGCTGGCAGCAATTAATGTATTTTCGTTACTAGATAAGAAAAGACTTTAAGCCACGTCGCATCAACTGAAACTAGCTATTATTAATTGTAAAGGAAACCGTGTACATTTTGTAAATATTTGTTTAACTGAACAGAAAGGAGTTAAGATTTTCTACAAGGGAATTAGAAAACGTCAACCGACAAGGGAACTTTTGTAAGCTTTTCAAAAGCCGCATATTTATCGACATTAAACTGAAATTTAAGAGCGTGGCTTGTGCTTTAATTTGGTGTTGGTGGTGTAAGTATTCATCACAGTTGTAAATAAATAACTATTTGCAATATAATAACAAACAGCAGGATAGATAGAACCATTGATCAAAATCTTTATCTTTTATCATATTTCTCGTGCATCATCAGGTTCGAGAAGTCAATATTTAATTAATGCTCAGATGCAATTTGTAGTGCAAAAAAACTCTTCTAAGATTTGGAAACCAACTGAATTAAAGGCGCCAAACGATATTAGGATAGGATAGAATTGGTTCCCATACTATCATACTTCGCGAAAGCGAGTAAATGTATTGCTATATTACTATGCTATCAATATAGATATAAACATTCCCACACACACTTTGAATTTAAAAAAACTTCAAGAGATTCGAAAACCAACCGAATCGAAGATGCCAAACGATGAATACTCCGCTGCTGCGAGAAAATATACCAGATTTGAATTGCGCAAGTCGCGGTGATGACGTCGTTGGGGGTGATCGGGAATGTGGGCACACTGTAGACTCACGGTCCAAAGGGCGATTTTCCAAACAATTTCGAAACGATGTGGAGGCACACGATCCTAAGCACCAGGTACCTGGCAGGAAACGCCACGCTCTGCAGGCAAATTGCGACGCACAGTCCCAAATTGGGGGCGGAAAGCAACCGCAGCAAGGAGAAGGCAAGTGAGAATGAGTCTTTTATGGCCAACATCTTCCGTGGCTCTCTGGTGTCGAGCCAAGTGTTCCCGTACCCGGATGTCCTGACCGCGGAGCAGAAGGAGCTGACCAACAGCCTGATAGATCCGTTCGAACGGTTCTTCTCCGATGTCAATGACGCCGCCCGCAACGATGCCAATGCCAAAATAGATGACACCACTGCGAAGGCTCTGTGGGAGCTCGGGGCCTTCGGAATCCAAGTGCCAGCTGACTACGGCGGCCTCGGTCTGAACAACACCCAGTACGGCAGGCTGTGCGCCATTGTGGGTGTCAACGATCTGGGACTGGGCATCACGATTGGCGCCCATCAGAGTATTGGATTCAAGGGGATACTGCTGTACGGCACCCCGGAACAGAAGGAGAAGTACCTGCCCAAGGTGGCCGCCGAGCAAGTGTACGCTGCCTTTGCGCTTACGGAACCCAGTTCCGGATCTGATGCGGGATCCATTCGATGCCGTGCCGTGAAGAGTGCCGATGGAAAACACTTCGTTCTAAATGGCTCGAAAATCTGGATTTCCAATGGCGGAATCGCCGAAATCATGACCGTTTTCGCACAGACCGAGCAGGTGGACCCGAAGACTGGCGAAAAGAAGGACAAGGTCACTGCCTTCATTGTGGAACGATCTTTCGGTGGCGTCACCAATGGTCCGCCCGAGAAGAAAATGGGCATCAAGGCATCGAACACGGCCGAAGTCTATTTTGAAGATGTCAAAATTCCAATTGAAAATGTGCTCGGCAAGGAAGGAGACGGATTCAAGGTGGCCATGAACATATTGAACAACGGTCGCTTCGGAATGGGCGCTACGCTGTCGGGAACAATGAAGAAATGCATTGAACAGGCCACGGAGCATGCCAATAATCGAGTTCAGTTTGGTCAAAAACTAAAGAACTATGGATCCATTCAAGAGAAATTGGCCCAGATGAACATTCTGCAGTACGCCACCGAGTCGATGGCGTTCACTATTTCGCAAAACATGGATGCCGGCAGCAAGGACTATCACTTGGAAGCAGCCATCTCGAAGATCTATGCGTCGGAGAGCGCGTGGTACGTTTGCGACGAGGCTATACAAATTCTGGGCGGCATGGGATTCATGGTGGATACTGGATTGGAGCGAGTCCTGCGTGACTTGCGCATTTTCCGCATATTCGAGGGCACCAATGACATTCTCCGGCTGTTCATTGCCCTGACTGGCATCCAATATGCGGGATCCCACCTCAAGGAACTGCAGCGCGCGTTCAAGAATCCCTCGGCCAATTTGGGACTGATTTTCAAGGAGGCCTCCAGGCGTGCGGCCTCCACCGTTGGCTTGGGCGGCACCGATCTGAGTGGCCACGTAGTGAGCGAACTCTTGCCCTATGCCAAAAAGACGGCCCATTGTATTGATCTTTTTGGACAATCGGTGGAAGAACTATTGCTGCGATACAACAAAAATATAGTTAACGAACAAATTTTGCTAACACGACTGGCCAATGCAGCCATTGATATATACGCGATGGTTGTGACGCAATCGCGATCATCTCGTGCAGTCAGTCTAAATCTGCCAACTGCACAACACGAGCTCAACATGACCAAGGCGCTCACTATTCAGGCGTCCGATCGAGTGATTAAGAATCTACAGGCTGCCACATCCAGTCATCATAGGTCTCTTAATGAGAAGATTTCAGCCATAGCGAAAACTACTCTGGAAAATGGCGGAGTGACTACGACTGGAATCCTAGATCAGAACTAGAACAAATACTTTTATACGAATTTTAAGCCCTTGATTGTTACCCTAGTATGAATGCCAATGTAAATAATAATCACTAAAGTCTAAAGTACACATCGCTCGCCTTCGAAATCTTTGAAAGTGACTATGCACTATCATTGAACTTTTTTTAGCAAATGAGTAACAAATACTTGGTCATCATAACTGAACTCAGATAATAAAACACTTGAAATCCAAGCACCTCTATGCGTTTAAAGTAGAAAAGTCCAATAATGGAATTTAAAGCACTTACCATTTCGATGAGATTTTTACAGCTGGACGGGTAATCTAATGAAATATAAAATTAAACGAACTTACTTTTCTGGATTTAATTTTGATCATATATTTGTAATTATGTAGTATAGTTTGTGTTTAAAAATTCGCTTTTCATATTACAACTTTGTTTGTTTGCTGAAAACCTAAAAATGATCGTTGTTTACTTTTTAATTATTGTATTGTACGTTTTCAACAATATTATTCTGTTAATTTTTAACTATCAAGCGCCTTGGTGTTTTAGAGTTTTGTCTTAAATGTAACAAGCAATATTCATTTAATTGACTTTCAAAAATTGCACTCAAAATTTTGTAACATAATAATTGCAGCAGGAAGTATTAAATATATTAGATAATAGTTGGAAACGCTTTCGCTGAATACATGGATAATAGGATTAACAATCGCATACTTACGTTTATAATTATAGGATAGTAAATATAGTAAAGCACAAAGAATTTCGCTTGTTAACTAAGATACAGGCAAACATAACACATATATAATACTTTGTCGAGTGTAGAGAAGCTTAATAAAACAGCACTTTCTCTCTAGATATGCGATAAGATTTAACAATTATAATGATCAGAATTTCATAAATTTACAAGTATAACTTGACGGTTATTCAGGCAGCCAGAATGCATATTTGATTACTGTGTGATCTGTGCAACTGAGTAGCGTAGCTCTTTGGGCAAGGATCTGGGTTTGATTATCACCGAAGGCTAAACTACAATGCTTTTTCTAACAACACGCTCATGTATGTATATGCCTTGTATATATTCATGTATGTATATTCTAATAAATTATTGTACTCTCTTGCTAGTGCCAAATGCCGCAGTGGCCGCATCTTCTAATTGTCCAATTGCCTTTCCCTTCTCTCGATCGTCTCTGCCTTCTTAACGTGTAAGTATTGCCGTACTTGGAGTATTTTTCTTGTTCATTACTTTTGGTTGAGATTATTGAATGATTGAGTATTGCTGAAAGAGTTGGAGGGCTTAGAGGGTGACGTCGTGCTCTTCGTCGAGCATTTCAACAAACGCGCGTGGCACCAGGCCTTTCAATAGACCCTGTTTTCCGTACATGTAGTCCTCGTTTACTGGCGAGCATTCCGTCACGAAGATCACCTGAAAAATTAGTTATATATTAGCCCCGCTTAAGATAAGGCTGTTTCCTAAAAAACCTTACCTCATTTGCGCTCAAATTAAGCTCGGTGTGATCCTTGGCGTCGTAGGAGCAAAGGACGCGTGCCCTCTGCATCTGATCCGTGCTGACGTGCATGGGCTGATTGGGCTTGTGGCCGGTGGCAACCATATTGGCAGAGTGATTGTTGCCCGGACCACGGGCTGCGGCACCGGACGATATGTTGGACTTGCTGGCACTGGCCTCGTTCACGTCGAGCGGAATGTATGGCGTGGGGCCTCCCAAGCTGATGGAAGATGCAGAGTTTAATGAGTTTTTGATTCGGTTTGATTGCGGGCTCTAAATGGAGAGATGAGCTGCTGAAACCTGACTTTACAAGGTGCAACAACTACCGATAACAGCAACCTATCTAGTACGTATGATTTGAAATTAAATGCTAATGTTAACTGGCATGGAATCCGAATCGATATTAAGATCACAATAACAAGACCCCTAAACTGTGGAGACGGCTGTCGTATCGAACTCTATGTGAAAGTCTTCCAGCAGATTCGTAAGCGACTTGTCCAAATCGGGATCTTGATCGCTATCTAGGGCTGTGCCCCCCAATGAATCGGAATCACAGGAATGCATCGACACCGAGCTGGGAGGCCCACAATCAACGTCTTCGCTATTGATGCGCAGGCGTGGCTTGGGATGCTGCATTCTGTAAGACCACAAGTAGATATCATAACGCACAGTGAGATGACCAGAAGGGTGCACGGGTTTCGTCAAGGATGGGACACGGTGTTGTGGTGTGCAAGAAAAGATTCTTTTGGTGCCTACGTGGAAGTCACAGCCATCCTCCATCGGTCGCCTTCTACTTACTTGGCCAGCTCACGCTGCAGCTGCTCCATGACATCGCCGCACTGCTTGTAGTAGCGCACTTGCGTCTGGATGAAGGCGTGCAAGTGGCGCAAATGAGAGGCCTGCGATGTGCTGATCCCGTCCAGCAGCAGCTTGGTGATCTCCGACTGCCGGTCGAATTCGGCCTGAGCCACCCGCAAGTCTCGCTCCGCCTGGAAAACAAACGCAATTTAAAATTCGCTCATTGATTTGCCATAAATCTAGAGCGCGAGCTCGGTCAAGGTTTGGATACCTGTTCCAAGACGGCCTCTGGCGAGATGCCATCTTTCTATATATTCCGGGCAGCAGAGGGCAGAAAAAGACCGTAAGTGAAAAAGCCATTACGAAACCCAATCAATCATTCCCCCTTGCAAAAAGTACGAGCCATCTCGTACCATCAACCCACCCACTTACCGATTGCTGACCCAGCATGCTGCGCGCCTTCTTCACCCTGTTCTTGCAGGCGTCCAGATCCAGGCGCTTGGTCTCCAAGATGCCGCGCTCCTTGCCAATTGTCTTCATTTCGCCGTCTAGGAACTTGCGCAACGGCTGTGTAAAGCAAATGCCCGAGGTGGCTATGAAGTCGTGCTCGCACTGGCCTAGTTTCTGTTCCGCCTGGCCGACCTTGATCAGAGCCTGACCATAGGGCAGATCCTGGCCGAAATCGCCACCAGCCTCGATCATGTCCAGAGCCAGGTGCTCTAGGTTGCTCAACCTCTTGGGCTTCGACTTTTCGATCTTCTCGAAGATGAAGTCTTCGACCCGGTTCTGGGGATTGGGTATCAGCACCGACTCTGTATCGCGCACTATCTTCTCCGTCCATGTCTTGGTCACATCAGCCCGCTCAGCGAGATTCTGGAAGTGCAAGTCGTACTCGGTGCGCTCCGTGGTGCCCAGTTTCTCCTCCGTGAGCTGGAAAGGTCATTGCAAATGATGGAGAGTCGTTGAAAAGGGCAAAGAAACAGCCAAAGTGCTTGAGCTTGGTTTGGGGGACATCTGCCTTTTCCCCATCCACCGAAAGTCCGCCACCACCCGCTTTTTTTCAGCCACCCAAATTCATTGATTTGTTCACCTGCACCACTCGTGATATCGTGCTGCCCGCCTCCTTCACCAGGTTCTTCACATTGAAATTCGGCAGATTTATGTTCATTTTGGCCGAGATGTTCGCCAGATAGTACTGCTGCTGATAAAGTTTAAATTTAAATTCCGCTACACAGCCCAATTTGTTTGTATTTATTTCCTCTAATTCGTAGTGTGACCTATCGTTTCTCATTGGAATATACCAAATATACCGAAAATTTCCTACTGAACCAATGCTCTAATTGGAAATAAGGGAAGTTAGCAGGCTGTTAATGATATGTATATGTTAGCTAACAGTTTCGGTAAGTCAGGCGTGGTGGATATCTAGAAAGTAACGAAAGCTACTGTGGCCGGCTATAAAATATGGAAAAATTGGTAAACTACAAAGAATGCTTTTTGATGACCACGCACCTCATAAATAAAACACGATCTATAAAACAGTTAAATTGAACTTTTCACATTTAATATACACTCATTAGACATATATTATCGGAGCGGAAAAATTGAAACATGCATTCAATTGATAACTTTTCACCACTCTACTGCGTCTTACATTTATGGCTGACTTTCGCTTTCCTTATACAAGGTTTGAATCTGTGCAAAATCGAGTGTGCTTATCACTTTCCTATATAGTTTTCGGCTCGAATTCGTTCACGTTGAGCGAGAATAATACACAGAGTTCTGGACAAAAATGAATTACAGCTATATATATTTTAACTATCTGGTATATATCGGATATTTTACACACATGTTAGGATGCACGTATTGTTTAGGGTTTCCTTCAATGTTCCAACTATTCCCATACCATGATATTCGCCAGAACACCAATCCGTTAAATTCCATTGTGCTGCAATTGTTGGTGATTATAATATTTAATGGACATTTATAATACATTTAATGGACATCTAGATTTTTATGGAATGGGTGTGTGTTGTGCCCTACACTACTAGTGTTCACATTAATAGTTAAAAATCTACAAATTCTTTAACCGACCTCAATATTTGATACAGCAGGTCGCATTACACACGTTAACAAAATGGTTTTGCTTAGGCTCTTGATTTAGTGGACCTTGTGTAAAATCACATATTGCATTAATGTAAAACTACGCTGACATGAACCTAAAAGTAGCCCTTGTGTAAATCTAGTGTTTCTTGCATATTTCTGTTATCTTTGATTAATTTTGAAATGGTCCCGACTAACTTGAGAAACCTAGGGCGTGCGGATTATGGGTGCACGATGGGCTTCTTTGTTTCAAAATAATGTTTTGGTTAACAATTACGGCAAAAGTCCTAGGTCTATTTAAGCAAAATTGCACAATGTGGTTAATATATTTTCTGGTTCTCAATCGATCAATTAAATTATGAACTTTAATCCACTCAACATTCAGGTGAATATTAATGCCATTTAAAAATGCGATTCAATGCCATTACAAATGTATAACTACACGTATATAATTAACAATAAGTTTCATTCGGCGGCCAAGCGCCATATTTGCAAAAAATCAGTACAATTGGTATTCATTCGTCCATGAACAAGGATAAAATATTATTTTCTCATTTTAAAAATTATTGCTTTTTTTGTGGATTCCTAAGTATTTTGATTTCTTTCAATCAAAAATATAACTAATTTATTCCAGTCGCAACTAGGGCAAGGCGACCCAAACAGATTCGAGCATTAAAATGATCCCAACTCATGCTTAGAGGAAAACGAAAACCATACTAAATCAATTACAAATAATAGTTTTATATTTAGACAAACTATATACAATGATTAATGGAGGAAATGACTAGCGTAAATTAAAGCTAAACTTATACACAATATGTACAGTTGGGAATTATAGCCCGGTAGTAGTCGAGTCTGTTTTTTCTTTAACTTAGGATCTTGCATACTCTATAGGAAACTTGTGGGTTACACTTTGGATAATTTCGGTGCTTAGAGTACATGCAGATTCTCGCAGCTCTTCGACTTGGAGTCCCGAGTCCACACGCGGCCCAAAAGGCCCTTGACTTTCAGGCTGGTGGAGGTCCTAGATCCACGGTATTTGCGGGGACTGCAAAAGAGTAGGCTGCATGAGCATTGTGTCCTGATTCTGATGGCCTGTCGCCGTGGCGATGACTCACCTGCTTTGAGCACTGCCCGGAGGCGTGGCCACCGACTCCCCCAGAGGACCCAGCGGTGTATTGGCATTCAGGCAGCCAGCATTCAGCGGCGAGCAGGCGCGTCTCTTGGACTTTCGAATCGAACGCTTTCGGAACAGATCCCTGTGGGAAAAAACATAATAACCGTAAGTAAATACAGTATAGATTATTTCTTGGTAGCTCGCCACCCACCTGGACTTTTCGGGATTCTCCAGCTTGAGCCGTATCTGCGATAACAGACCCACGAGCAGTTCGTCCACGTTGTGATTAATGCCCACCGAGGTCTCGATGAATTTACAATCGTAGGCGGTGGCCATGGCCTTGCCCTCTGTAATGACAAACACGATGGAGAGGTTAAGTGAAAATGTGTGGAAATTATGGGCAAAAGCGTCACATTCAAGCTTAGTTGGCCGCCCATCATCCCAGTTAATCAAATCGAATGGCCTCGCTTAGTTAACTCGGAGTTGGTCGTAAACCTCATCCTGGACTGGGATTTCTATCTAAACATGATGCGGGGATACCCATCCCATCCGTCACGTCTTGTCCACAGATGTGTACACAACTCGTAAAATCTGAAGCATCAAAGTTCGGTACACCATGCGTATGGTGACCCTCCTGGTGGAAATTTTATGACAGGCGCACATTTTTATTAACAATGTGACGAAAGTTACATATATTTATTTGTATATGTACTTTTCGGTTCGTTTTATTACAGTTTGATAGGCAGGCCAGCCTTTCCTGGGCGCTTAAAGACCTAAGCTCTTAACCTTCCGATTTTCGATTAGAGTTGGAATAGGATCCTAATTAAAGGTAAACAAAAGTTTTGCAGCATCGGGCAATATTTACCCCATTAAATAATTAGTGCGGCACAACAATCATTATGTATGCCAGCAAGTTAAGAGGTGGAAATGGCAAAGACATTCAATTTTAAAAAGGTTTTTTAGAGTCTGTGGAGTGGCAAAATCACCTGCGACGCACTAACGTTTTATTCATATTTTTCCAATCAGCGTGACAATGTATAGATTTATGAAAATATCTTTTATCCAGACGTTTCTGGGCCAAGCGCTCATTTTATTATTGCCAGAGGCATACAAAATTCTATAAATACTTTATGAAATTAGGGCGTCGCATTAGGTGGACAGGAACTCTCCGCCCAAATTCCAGATTGTGCGTTGAAGATGGGTGGTGGGTGGTGGGTAGTGGGCGGATGGAGGTCCTGTTGTCGCCCTGTTTGCAACAATAGGCTTATGGGTCTTAAACCTTGAGCGGAACACATGCCACACGGGACGAAATGTAATCAATTTTGCGCTGAAACAATTTCCCTCCACTGCCATTTCTCTGGCTGAGCTGGGGAACCCTTTCCAACCACCAGCCACCCCTACTTTCATAATAACAAGCGTAATTTAACGGAAAATATTGAATTACTTAGATGAAAGCGCCCGAGTTACCTTGGTCTTAAAGGGAATCTGATATAAAAGTCAAGTGAGAGCACTTGAGTAGACAAAAAGAGCCCCGAAACTGGCGACCTTCCGGAAGGATGGGGCCTGGAATCACCTCCACTTAGGATTCCGGCTGTTTGGGTAGGCGAACCGCCGGATGACTTCCGCTTGGCAAACTCTTCAGCTGACCCTGCCCGGCGGTCCTGTTTATACACTCGAACTATATCGCTATATATACCCGTATATCTATTCGTAACAGACCCAATCGAGCGCACTTTCTGGTGCTAATGGGCAGGGGGAATCACCGAAACCTCCCACATATTTATTAGCATTATAACGAGTCGCTTACCTTCAGAGGTGACCAGTCGACTCCTGGCCAGGTCGGCCTTGTTCGATACCAGGATGACTGCCTTCTGGGCGATGTTCTGATTGGTCCAGAGCACCTGCAGCACCTGCTCCGCCACACTGAAGCTGCTCCTGTCCGCGGCTGAGTAGATGACGCAGTAACCGTGCGGATCGTAGTTGGTCAGGCACTCATCCGGCTGTGAAAGGATGGAGAAATGGCGGTGACACCGAAGTGACATTGAGTGAGGTTGAGGGCTTTGCCAGAGTGTGATTTCCCGCTTCTGTGTGGGTAACTTGATGGCCGTGCATGCTAATGGCATTATGAAATGTCACAGATAGAGTGCAGGGTGCCGGATGGATGAGCAGGTATGTATGTATATATAATACCACTGGTCACAATAATGGCAACAAGGCTTTGGAGGCTGCATAATGGGTGTTCCGAAAGCACCTAAGTCCATTAAGGAATCAATTTGTTTTAAGTGCGTGTGCATGTGATCGCACTATGCAAAGCACTTGCACTTTATGCAAATAGATGGATGTTTTTGAAAAAAATATGTACATTAGGTTTCGACACCATTCCACTCCAAAAAAGTTTAAAAGATATTTGAAATTGTTTTTAAATTATGCATTGCTCTACGTTATTGTGACCCTCGTCCCACACCCTGAGAAGCTGATGAGTGTGTCAAAAGGTACTTACAGTCATTTCGGTGTATCCATGGTCGATGAAAATCAGCTCGGACTCTTCGCCACTGAGTAATACTGAAACGGCCTTCTCGCCGGACTCATCATCTGCACACATTGAAGGGGAAATCGAGGTTAGCACCGATGTATTAGCATGTGCGCAATACTATAGCCTAAGTTCGATAACTCAAATGTCAAGCAATGAAATGATTTACAACATCCACTTTTAAAAGTGCAGAAACAAAGAGCATGTGCATGTTTTAGTTGGGTGTTTGTGTTTGATGGGCTTATCTACAAGTGTCGTCCACAACATGCGAGTATTTGGGTATCCATTAGCCAAGTTGAATGAACACAGCTTCGGGGATTCAACGGAAGTCCACACCGGACTGCCCCGAAATGTATGCTAATGTATGGGAAATTAAATTGGCCCCCACAAGTATGCAACGAAATGGGCGCAAAAACCTGCCTGCAAAAATGGGCAGTGAAAGTGGCGAAGGAAGGGTAAATGCTGGGTAGATGCGACTTTGTTTGTGTGGGACTGAGTGTTTTCTCAATTATTATTCATTTAATGGGCTCTCTGTTTGTCTCTTTTTTA